ATCATTTATAGGAAAAAATTTTCCTACAACTTGAAAAAAATATATATGAAGCAGAAAGAAAAATATTTGAAATATTATGCATAAAAGAAAGAGTTTACTTTGGTGGTAATGCTGATGAATTGATGAAGTCAGTCGTTTTTTGGATAGAGTTAACTGATTCATTAGCTGCTCGATTACTATCATTATTATCATGATATGGTGTACGAACATTCTGTAAACGTTCCTCTTCTACGCGATATTCCATTAACGGATCAATGGATTGTCCGTAACTTTCTAAGCTATACGTACGTTCATTATTTTCACGTGTCATTTTCCTACCATCATTTACATGTTTCAATTCCTGTAAGAATAAAATTTTTCCTTTATTTTTTTTCTTTTCTTTTTTTTTTTCATTATCATTTAAGTTATGAGTACGACATTTAAGTATTTTTTTTTTTACATATATACAAATTTATTTGGTTTATTAAGCACCGAAATGAAATTCTCTATGCAGAAATTACTGAAACAATTTCATTAGAAAAATAAATTTAATTAATCGGAATAGTTGTTTTTTTTTTTTGGAAAAAAAAGAAATTAATTAAATTTTAAGTGATATTGTTTGTTGAAAATATTTTTAATTCAACAATGCCTCATTTTTTGGTGATTGTACCAAATAACGGTATGATTTAAATTAATTTCTTTTTTTTTTTTTTTTGATTTCATAGTTCAAAGACATGCAACGCATTACTTTTTAATTTAATCTATTTTGATGATAAGTGATTGTCGTTGAATGTAAATATTTATAAAATATCTTTACAAAAAATGATAAATTCGAAAATAAATTTTTATCGGAATATTCACTTCGAGAAGTAATTTTTCCTGTCGTTTTCGTCGTAACGCTTCCGGATTATTCTCTCGTTTTGCTTTCAATTTTTTCAATTGAAACTTCAACCAATCATCTGCATTTTCAGCATCTGTCAATGAGTCATAACGATTGTGAGCAAATAATCGATTCCCGTAGGATTCACTGGAAAGAAACAATAAAATAAAATAAATGTAGTAAAAATTCATTTTTAAACCTCAAATTAAAATAAATTACATAAAAAAAAAATGAACAATTATGTGACGAAATTTTAGTAGCATATTATTAAAATCATTAAAATTAGTTGATTTTTTCTTTTACTGTTAGTAGTAAATTATAAATTATGATTAGGAAAGAAATTATAAATCTTTGAGAGGTTCTTTTTTTTTTCATTATTTTCTTTCCAAAAAAAAATTCTTTTTTTTTGATTAATCATATAATTATAAATTATTGAAAATCTCGTTTTTAATTTTTTTTTTGCTTTTTGCAAATTTTTTATGCAAAAAAAAAAAACGAGAAAAATGTTCAATTATTGGAGAGGATTTATTTACCGATAAAACGGAGCAGAAGTAGCAGAACGACAATTACGCATTCGAAATGTTTCCCGATCCCAGTTAATATTGCCAACCGAACTTGCTGGCTTCGGTGATGAGAAACCATCATCGAATGTTGACTGATTTCTACAATAATTTTTTTTTTCTTTCTAAAAATTTAAATCTTTCATTGCATAAAAGCATAAATGTTACAAATGTTACAAATTTAGCTTACAATTTTGAATTGATTTTTAAATTGAATTTAAATTTAAGAAAAAAATTCAAATTCCGTATTGCAGAAGAGCAGAAATAAAAAATAATGCAAATTTAACTTACAGTAATTTTTAAGGTGAAAAAGATTGTAAAAACATTGCAACTAAATTTTAATCATTAAAAATTGCTAAATAAATTTGGTTGTTTACATTTTGCTTAAATTAT